CCCAAAATAGTGTTTTATAATAATATTAAAATTTTTAACTATTCAAAACACTAATATTTTCTGATTTAAATGTGACTAAGATTTGTATTGAAAACATTTTTATTTATTAAACAAAAAATGATATATAAATGATTAAAATACAAATTCGTAAGAGATTTCTAAACATACAATAAAAATATTTGAGAAAGTAAGTCATATATGAAAAACTAAGTAATATTCATGAGTATTTAACTAAATGCTACCTTAATTTTTAATCTATACTTTAAACTTTAGAATACTAGTGTTGTATATACTCAGCCTAAATAATAATATATTGTCAATGCATACATCACTAGTTGGTTTCTGGAAACCATATCTGTGCGTGTAAGGTGTATTATATTATAATATTTATCAATTTATAAAATTATATTTTTATAACAAAAACAATACACCATTTATGATCATTAGTATTTAGCTAATTAAATTAATAAATTATAAATAACTAAATAACTTTACATTATAATTTTATTATAATTAATTCTCCAATATTTATAAAATTATTCCTTTAATTGCATACACATATTTTCAATTAATTATGCATCTAGGTACGTTTCCTACACAGAAAGGTTGTGTCCTTTTTAGTCGACTTGCATACAAGCTTCGGGTCATAAACAGCCGGCTCCTCCTTCTCCCTATCCTTATCGCACGGGTCGTTCAGCTCTACATAAAAAATAGTTGTAAAATTAGCCACGCTCATTTCAATCATTACTTAGCTTAATAACGCATTTTCACATTGAGTAACGTCGGGTGGTATGAAAAGGCCATTTTTTCCTTTGCCCTCGCACGTATTTTTAAACACCTTGTCACATTTATCTTTGTCTGCCTGGGTGCACGTCCTTTTGTATTCGCATTTCGTTTTAACCTCGGTGTTTATCATTTGTAATAGGTTTACAATCGGTAATAATGTTATTAGTTTCGTCGCCATGTTTGGGGCCATTTAATTGATTATTATTTGAAATTTTTTAGTAATTAATATTTTACTCAAATGTGGTTTTACTTTATTAATTTGCTTTACGTAATTATTTTTATTATACATAAATGTCGTACAATTTTAAATAATTTTTATTATATATCTTACGATTAAGATTAAATTAAAATTACTATTGAATTGAGTTGAATTTATTAAACTGTAAATTAAATTATTTATACAAATTAATTGAGCTTACATTATAAAAATTTACTATATTGGTCAAAACACACAGGATCAAATTAATATCTATTAAAATAATTTAATAATATCGTTTTAAAAGTTACTGATTATTAATATAGAAAATTTTAAACATAATTTAGTTTGCCAAATTAAATTTTATTATTAAAATTGTTTGTAATTATAACAATTTGTCCAGGTATTCATTTAAGTACGAACTACCTGTGCCGTGCCATTTGAGGGTACCACAATAACAATAGGCTCTCTATCATGATCATCATGATGCTCGTGGTGATCACGGTCATGACCATGGTCATATCCACGATCACATTCCCGGTTACCATATCCATAGCCACCATACCCTCCATAGAGATGTGGTCGCAGTAGACCTAATCCAAGTCCCAGTGCTCCCAGGGTTCTGGACTCCGGTACAGTATTAATAGGTCCCGCATTTGATAGGCCTGGGTACATTAAATTATTTTATTATTTAGAAATATTATTAATTTTATATTAATTACTTACCTATAACTCCAACGCACACAATGATTGCAAGTAATTTAAACATTTTAAAATAATTTTTAAATTTTTATTAGACTTTAATTTGTGAATTATATTGAAGTATTTTGCCTTGTTTATATATGATTTTAAAATCCTGGTTTTGGGTTGGCAAGTTATAAATGTATTTTAATAATCTAAACATAATTGATTAATTAGTTGCCCTGATAATAAACTAAGAAATTATTAATTTTAAATAATTGTTTAAAATAAATGTATATCTGCCTATGCATATTAATGCCCTTAAATGATATAATATATTACTATTATTAAGCACGATAAAATTAATTTATTTATATCCAGGTGTCAAACATATTACAAAATTATCTACTTGTATATTTTACTGATGTTATAAAATTAAAATATAAATTTTTTTTCAAAACTGTAACATAGTCAATAATTATTTTTTGTTTAAATTACCTAGCTAAAATAAATTTAATTGGTGCCCTAGATCATGTGACTTGATTTTGAAAAATATTGTATTTATAACATTATTATCCCAATTAATCAGGTACATTATAAACTTATATATAAACTGCTAACGCAAGTAGATGTCTCTGGACTGCATACCAGTCCCTGTTTGCACACTTTGTTTACTCCAAATACCTTGGTGCAATTATCACCATCATCTAAGCATAAACATCAAAAATAAGTATCATGGTCATTTTATATATTTACAAAATCAAAAACACTTTGCATTCAGCACAGCACCGGCAGATATGGGGCGCGGGGTCCAGTATAAACCATTACGGGCATCGCATTCAGATTTAATGGCCGGTGCACACTGTATGACTGAGCACCGGGGGATACATGTTTGTGACCCGTCAATACTGGTAAATACAGTAGGCGGTAAAAGTATATGTACCATGATTAATTGTAAACAGGATAATTTTAATAAAGTAAACATTTTAGGTAAAATTAATTAAAACTGTAAGTTAAGTAAAATAATATCAAATACTTATACTAATGTGAATTACAATAATAATGTTGGCAAAAATTCTTAACGATATCATTTATTTATTTGTTGCAAAAATTATTTTTTGTTTGAATGTGTAATATTAGAATTCACAAATTTAGTCTATAACTAAATTGTAATTGCATAATTTTTACTAGTTCATTAGTAATATAAACGTTATACAAACTTTGGAGGTGTTTTTTCAAAGTACCCAGTCATTAAAATAATATATTTGTTATGTATAATTTGTATTAATTAATATTTAAAAATTTTTAAACATTAGCAAACATTGTAAAGTAGATTTAAATTATTTATTTATATAATAAGTAATAAAATTTAAATTATTTTGGTGACAAATGATCATTGGATTTTATATTTTAAATGTTTATATTTTATATCATTATGATTAGTCTATAATCTCATTTTGACCATGTACATTAAATAGTTGTAAACAAATTTTTAACACAAGTAGGTGTCGCTGTGTTTCATATCAGCCCCTGATAACACACATTATTTAACATGAATACCGGCACACAATCATAATTATAATTTATTTAATTTATAATTAATATATTATTTTTATTATAAACTTTTATGAAATAAAAATATTATTTATTAATTAAACAAAAAATTAAACAATCTCAATATCGGAATAAAAAAGTTTACACTTTATTATTAATCTGGTTAAATTTTTATTTTATAATTACAAACAATTTTATTACTGTCGTGTGCACACCGACCTATTTCTATCGCATACCAGTCCCCTATCGCATACCTTAATTAACCGAAATTCACTAGCACAATTCTTACCTACACCTACAAAAATTTAATATTATTAACTAGCTTGTTATAATAATACTAATTATATAACTACATACCTAATGTGACCTTGCACTGGGAGCAACACCGACATAGTGATGGTGCGTAATCCAGAAATTCACCATGCACCTTGTCACATTCAGATTTGTTTGCCGGTGCGCACCTAACCCTTGAGCACGTGTCGCGACATTTCTGAGCTTGGTCATCGGTGCCCCATACAGACACTGGTGCCTTTAATAAATATATTTTGATATCACATTAAAATAAATTAAAATGTTCGTAAATTAAATAAATATTAACAAACTGTTAACTTTATAAGATAATATATTTGTTATCAATGAATAAATTTTTTATAAATACATTCTGAATAATAATTCACAGAAACCTTATATTTTGTAATTAATTAAGTGTACAGTACAAGTAATTAAATACAGA